CTTAGGATCCAGGAACCAAGATCCAAGATTAGAGAGTCCTGAGCATCTTGGTTCTTGGTTCTTGGTTCCAGGGCCCTGGCTGCATTTAACTTAAATTGTTAAATGCAGATTTAAATGCAGCCAAGGCCCAGGAACCAAGAATCAAGATTCCTGAGCATCGTGGTTCTTGGTTCTTTCCCCCCTTAGTATTTGAAGAATACAACAATGAAAGCAATGCAAATAAATTAGATGCATTCTCCGCATTTCCTCAAATTTCAAGTAATTGAAATTGTTTAGAATAATTAATGCCCTTTCTTTTGATAAATCTGCTTGTTCTCCTTCTTAGACAATTCTTTAAAAAATGAATACATGAATTAAGAGAATCTATTTCAAATATCTTAAGTGTTTGAATTTTCTAATGATTTTAACTATTTGAATCATATATACGGGGTATTCTATGAGTTATTCTATAGCGTATGCCAGATGGTATTCTATAAGGTATGTACAGGGTAAATTGGGGGTACTCTATATTCTGTAAGGTCTTCTATAGGATATAAATGGGGTATTCCATAAGGTATTGTATAGGGTAATCTATAGGCTTCATGTACAGGGTATTCTAGAAGGTATCCTATAAGGTTTTCTATAGCTTGCAAAGGAAACACATTCCTTGAAATTCTAGAAAAGGACAGAAGCCACTCTATCTGAAGAATGAAAATACATAACATATGTTATTCTCAATCATTTTAAGTATTTTCTAAGACGAAGGAAAATAGGCAAAATGATTATGATACATTGGTTTAATTATCGTAAATGTTTCATGTATTTTAAGTATTTAAAAAGAAAATGAAATCCCCTATATAACCCTATATAACCTATATATATACACCTTATAGTATTATAGAATACCATCTGGAATACCTCATAGAATACCCCATATATATGACAACCCCTGTATACCTTTCATATACACTATAAACTGCCCTATAGAATACCGTATATCTTAATATTATATGCTAGAATTATCAACATTTTTGTCATTCTCGGTATTTGATCTATGTAAGGTATACAAGGCGTGTCATACATACGGAGTATGCTATAAGGTATTCTATAGGGTATTCCACAGGTATTTTATCGGTTGTGTGCACAGTATATAGGGTGTATTATATGCAGTATTCTATAAGTTATCTTAAATCATATTCCTTTTGTTTCTTAGAAAATAGCCTTTTGATTTCTTTGAATAGGGGGGAACCCATTCCTTGAAATTCTAGAAAAGGACAAGACCCCCCCTCCCAGTTAACTACTTAAAACAAGTGAAATACTTAGATAATTAGAAAGAGTAAAATAGATTGCTTTAATTATTTTGTTTATTTAAAGAAAAAGAAAGAAAATAAGCAAAACAAACATAAATTCATTGCTTTAATAGTTTTACTTATTTCAACTAATGTTGGACCCTCTTTAAAGAGTAGGCCCCTTCCCCGCCTCCCCTCCTTACAATAGGGCCATCCGAAGAATAGAAATTACAGTCCCTCAAGATGGTGCCCCGAGCTCCCACGGTTCTCAGGTCCCTCTGTATTGATTTCTCTTTGCTTTGTTTTGGGCTCCAAAATCAAGACACATTATAGGGGGCCTTGCAATCATTGCCCTGATCCTGAATAAGCAGGCTCCAAAACACCTTATAGGGGGCCTTTCCAAGAAAGGAGGTCCAACACTAGGGATATGGATAATCAAGTGGAAGAGCAGGGAAGAGAAAAGCTAGCAGGACGTGGAAGCCATTCTTCCCAAAGCCTGTCTTCCCGAAGCCTGGCGCTCAGTTCGGTAGTAAAACGCTCAAGTTATGTTGTCCCTTTTCGACCTGAAGAGGAGTTTCAGGCTTTAGGCCTGTAAAGGGTACCTAGGATTTGTTTCGGAAAAATCTCCTAGGTCATCACGACGCTATACCCCAAGAGTTCCTTACAGTTGTTACACCTGTTCAGCGTAAGGTGCCTTCCTGCGTGCTGAGTCCGCGGCTTATTCATGCGAGAGATTCTTAACACATAATGTGGCACCCTTTTTAATGATAGGGGGCCCCCCCCCTGAACAATTACCATTCCTGATTAATGCGGCGGCCTCCCCTAAATTTGCCGCGCAATTAAAATCATGTGGAACCCTAGAATCTATCTAAGTAATCTTACTGGAAGCTTTTGAGCCTTATTTGAGCCTCTAATAAACCTTAACACAACCTTAAACCTTCAACTT